AAAAAAAAAAAAAAATACTTTTAATACTTTTAATCCCATTCAAACTTTCCTTGTCTACTTTCAGAGAAGAATGATTAAAAAAAAAAATCAAATATCTAAAATAAAATCAACCAAGACATTACCTTGTCATTATCATCCCTCATCACATTGGTGGTTAAAGCCGCCATCTTTTTCTTCTTATGCTCAGGCATTTCCAGCAAGCTTATCTGCCAGTACCCAAGTAACGCAATTTACATTTTACACAAGGTCAACAGAAAACTTGAAGAAAAAGCTGTACTCATCGCCTGTTTAGGTACAACTGGTTCACTTTAGTCCACAACAGGATACAATCAAGATAATAAATTCTCACCCCTCCTTGTCCACCTCTTGCCACAACAACTTCATCACCAGGACGAGCCAAATCAGCCAGAAGCTTTCCCCTTTTATGTTTTACAACGGTACCTTTCACAATGACTGTTTCATTAGTTGTATTGGTGGAGGGAGGTTAACAAAGACAGAAAAAAAAAAAAAAAAAAAAAAGATTTTCAATCTGTACACAGAAAAACAAACCTAAAGGCACTGGAATACGTAGGGTGGGGCCAGCTAGCCCGTTGTGCACTTGAGACGACAAAATTCCCATGGCATCAACATTCCCCCCACGTTTTGCACTGTACCGACTCTTCCTGTGAAAATCCAAAAGAGTATCTTTGGTCTCGTCCGCATAGATCACAACATCACCACCATGGCCACCCACAGGGAGGATAACTGAGCCGTCAAAATCCCTCTTGTACGAACTTTTTCTCCTCGCTTTTTCCTTCTCAAATTTCCCCTGAGATTTCGAAGGGGCCTTTTGGCTCGGCAGGCTGAGTACGGCACCGTGACCTCCATCTCCAGCTCGGACGGTGATGATCACCTCATCAAAGTACTTGTGGGATTCTTTCACAAGGTTCTCGGGAGTTGGGGATGGCGGGTTCTTGACTTTAGAAAGAAGGCATTTCAGTTTGATGGCCCGGTGATTTTTCTGGTCAATCCATGTTCTGCGTGAACTGTGTTCAAATTTGCACGCATATGATTAATAAAGAAGATGAAGAACAATGTTTTTCTTTTTTTCCTATAGCGTTAAGTGTTTGAACAGAACACACAAACACTAACACAATCAAATTCGCATCGACCTGCATAAACGTGATCTCGACCCAATGCCACATATGAAGAGTTAATTGTATAACGATTTCAGACCACTGACATTTGCACATATATCATTCAGAATTCTTCCTTTAGCCTGTTCCGTGACAAATATGAACAGAGAAAAGGAAAGTTCAACATGTACATCCAAAGCAACATACTAACTGAAATAACAGCCATGATGTATTTGCTTCTAGATAATATGATATCGTGAACAAATGGGTCATGTTCGCAAGTTTCAGACAGAGGTAGAAAATTGTACAGCGCATACGGTGTGACTAACAAAAATACATTTGACCATCAACATACGCAACGAAAATGACATTTTTGATGGTCATGAATTCATAATCAGCTAATGACAAGTCCGAGGAATATAGAAATTTGAAGGTTTCGAGTTCTGGATGAAGAAGATAGGGCGTACCTGTTGAGAGGAAAGGGTTGAGAGATGAAAGCAGATAGTGGAGCCAACGACGTCGTATTAGGAGACAAGTTGAGCATTGAAGGTGAAGGTTGCTGCAAAACCCATGAGAGCATTCTTCCTCTGTTCACTGAGAGAGAGGCCGACCGTCGAATAGATAGAACTGAAGAGGAAACAGAGCTTTTTTTTTTTGGGGAAATATTTTTAAGTTGAATAGTCATTATATGTGTGCATATTTCAACACTCATGAACATTACACTTGCCTCAGCACGTGACCCGAAGAATTTTGGATCGAATCAAATTCACTTCGAATAGAAAAATAATTGTTGAGAGTTTGACTTTTTCCAAATCAAATTAAAAAATAATTGGTATGTCTATGGAGATTTCACAATATACGTATCGACTACCGAACTAAACCATCTCATATTGTACTGCACCGAAGAAACGAGAACCAGCAGTAACAAGAAGAAAAAAAAAAAAAAAAAAA